AGGGCATATCGTCGACCGAGAAGGGATACGGACCGACCCCGAGAAAGTCAAAGCCGTCGCCCAGTGGCCGCGGCCACAAACCGTAAAGCAAATCCGACAATTCCTAGGCGTCGCCTCCTGGTACCGGCGATTTATACAGGACTTCGCGACCGTCGCCGCGCCCCTCACCGCGTTAACCCGCAAACACGCCCGGTGGGCATGGGGGCCCGAGGAAGAAAACGCATTCGAACAATTAAAGACGACCCTGACCACCGCGCCGGTTCTCGCTTGTCCGGATTTCACGCGGCGTTTTGTCCTGCAAACCGACGCCAGCACAACCGGAGTAGGGGCCGTACTAACGCAGAATTTCCCGGAGGGCGAACGAGTCATCGCATACGCAAGCCGAACTCTCAATCAGGCCGAACGAAACTACAGCGCGACCGAGCTCGAATGCCTAGCCGTAATATGGGGAATCCGCCGCATGCGGGACTATCTCGAGGGGTACCCATTCACCGTCCTCACGGACCACCAATCGCTCCGGTGGTTGCAGAAACTCGACGCACCCACCGGGAGACTGGGCCGGTGGGCATTCGAGCTCCAGCAATACGACCTAGAGATCCGCTACAGGAAAGGAGCCCTTAACCGGGTGGCAGACGCGCTATCTCGCCAGCCCATGACAGCCGCCGTTACCCCCCCGCCCCGCTGCCCCTGGTATCGCCGCACGTTGCGCGCCGTACAACACGCCCCGCGCGAATATCCGGACTACGAAATAAAGGAGGGAAAACTACTCCGTCACGTCCTCCACAGTCTCGATTTTAAAGAAACACCCGCCGACGAGCAATGGAAAGAGTGCGTAGCCAAAGACCACCGCCCCGAAATCCTATACCAGAATCACGACGCCCCCACGGCTGGACATCTCGGGATCGCGAAAACAATCGCCCGGATCGCGCAATACTATTATTGGCCCGGAATGTTTCGGGAAATAGCGCAGTACGTCCGAAACTGCTCAAAATGCTTAAAGCATAAAGTCGCGCAAACACGACCAGCCGGCACGCTACACGCCACTTCCGTCGTCCGCCCCTGGCAACAAGTCACGTTGGACTTAATAGGGCCGCTGCCGCGCTCAAAGGGAGGGCATACATGGCTCCTGACCATGCAGGACCGTTTTTCAAAATGGCTGGAGATGCGTCCTTTACGCCGCGCCACCGCGCCCGCCGTCACGACGAACATTGCCGAAGCGATACTGTACCGACACGGATGCCCCGAGGTAATCCTGTCAGATAATGGGACGCAGCTCCGGTCCGCGAAACTTGAAAAAATGCTAGCCGCACATCACGTGCGGCATGCGTATACGCCCGTGCACGCGCCACATTGCAACCCGGTAGAACGAACGAACCGCGTAGTAAAGACAATGGTATCCCAATATGTGGACCAAAATCATCGAAATTGGGACGAGCGAATACCGGAGTTGCAATTCGCGTACAATACGGCGCGACATGAAGCAACCGGATACACCCCTGCATATCTTGTCTACGGTCGCGAGCCGGTATCCCCTCTCAATCAAGACGCCGCACCGAAAACCGCCGCACCGCCGCCCGACGAAAAACGCCGACATCTCGAGGAGGCCTTCGAACTCGCGAAAATACATCTCGCACACGCGTTCCAGCGACAACAAAAATATTATAATCTCCGACGACGAGCGTGGACCCCAAAAATTGGAGACTGGGTATGGAAGCGTGAGTACCCACTCTCCAATAAAGCCGCGGCATTCAACGCAAAACTCGCGCCGAAATTCAGAGGCCCCCTCGAGGTGCGACGTATAGTATCCCCCGTAATTGTGGACCTGCGCGGTAAGAGCGGCAAATGGATCCGACATATCCATGTACAAGACTTAAAAGCCGCGCCGGAAATCCCCCCTCCAGGCGACGAGACCAGGGAAGAAAACGCCGAAACAAACAGCGAAAGCGACAACGAAACCGACGCCGAAAACACCAGCGACCCCGACAACGACACCGAGGACAACAGCGAATATTAAACATTGCCCTATATCCCCTCCCGGACACCCGCTAAATAAACAAAAGTCGGCTATATAAACGAGCCCCGAAGTCAAAAGACACACTCGAGTCAAATTTCCCGAGATGGAGACAACCACGACCGAGAAAAGCATCCTCGAGGAGATCGAGGAACTCCTCGCCGAGCCCGTCGCTTACGACCCGGCCTGCCCGGATTTCGGCACAACCTGGACGAAGCTGTTCAGCACGGGATCCGCCGCCTCCGCTGCCGCCGCCGCCGAGGCCCCAAGACCCGCAACAGCTCCGCCGCCACGTAAAAACGTGCCAACGGTCGGATGCATGGTCCAGAGGTCGGACCACCAGCACCGACGAAAAATGGAGTGGCTGACGACCCCGCCACCACCGAGGCCGGCCCGCCGCATCACGGCAGCAACATACTTGGCGCGCAAGACAATCGCCGCCAAGCCGACGCCACCGCCGATCGCACCACCGGCCATACCACCGGCGGAACCACCGGCCGCGCTACCAGCCGCACCGCCTGCCGCACCACCAGCCGCCGAGGCGCAGGCACTCCGGCCCGTAGGCCCGCGGGAAACCCCGAAGATCCCTGTGCTTGTGGAGCCGGGCCACATCATCTTGGTACCCCATGGAGCCGTCCACAATACACGAGAGTGGAAAACCACGGAGAGGGGCTACCGATGGCATGTCCGCTTCAATCACGAGGGGACCGTCCGGAAGATCCGGAAATTACCGGCAAAACCGAGGACCCGGACCTGAAGCGCCGAATTCGCGCTCTAAAAGGAGGGGGGTGATGCGCCCCGAAACGCATCATTCCCGGCGAACATCAGCCGGATGCC